GGAAAGTTGCTCCAGTTCCGGGGGTGCTGCGGGTTGTGTCGCTTTGAGCTGCGGTGGAGAAGGGGAAATGGAGAAGCTTTGTTTAAAAAAGAACCCAAAAACCTTTATTGCAGGGTCGGGGAACGCCGAAATTGCTTTTCGTCCTGTTTTTCTCACGGTCTAGGTGGTATTTGCACAACGGCTCTGCCGGGCTCTGGAGAGGAGGCTTCGGCCAAGGCTGGAGCTGAGGTGGCTTCATGTTCATAGTTCAGGCTGAGAGAGCTGGGTTCGGCTGGAGAAGAGAAGGGGAGACCTTAGAGCAGCTCCTAAAGGGGCTCCAGGACACCTGGAGAGGGGCTTCGGACAAGGGATGTTCAAGGCCAGGTTGGACACAGGGGCTTGGAGCAACCTGCTCTAGTGGAAGGTGTCCCTGCCCGGGGCAGGGCTTGGAGCTGGATGAGCTTTAAGGTCCCTTCAACCCAAACCATTCTATGAGTCTGTGAATTTGTGTTTTCCCATGTAGGTTTTGGCTTGTGCCCAAGCTGCAATCTGGATCTGAAAAACATTTCAGTTGCTTTTGGTTTGTCATAGAACTGGCTGGTTTTATTGGGAACGGGGATTTTAAGGCAGTGCTGAGCTGCTTTCAAAGGGAATTGGTGCTGCTGGATGTCAAGGAACTGCTGCTGCGTGGCTGACGCAGGGAGCGTGAGCCCTTTCCTCCTGATTGAGGAAGATGCGCTCACGAGACAGTCATGAGATGAAATGCTTTGCTCCACATCATGGTTTCCATTTCTTGTGGGCAGTGGGTTGCTCACAGTTGCAGCACAATGTCTGTGGGATCCTCCTTGCTCAGGTGAAGGGAGCGGGTCAGCTTGTGCTCTTGATTGAGATCCAGTGCCCCTCAAACCTCATCTAATGCAGTTCTGGTTATTGCCAATTAAGAGATTACATTCAACACTTCAAACTGTTTGTTGAGGTGTAAATAGCACCTTGCCGTCAGTCGAGACAACACATGGTAAGTGCCAACACAGGCTAAGCTGGGTCATTCATCCCCTGTGGCCTCGTACTGCTGGAATCTGTGATCTTCCCTGGTTCCATGAGTGCCCTGAACGGTGCTGGTGTCCCTCCTGTTCTTCACGTGGCTCCACGCACTCATTTTTCCCTCCCAGGGATAGGTGATGAACAGTCACTCCCTTGGTCACTGCTCTTGTGACCCTGATAAAGCTTTGACTCAGTGTTATCTGTGGATCGAGTGATTCTGGGGTATTAGTGTGTCCTTGGAGTAACACAGGACACGGTTTGCTGTGTTTTCCACTGGGCTGACAGCACAGTGGTGAGTTGTGGGCACTCAGTACCCCGGGAAGTTGTGTGTAGTACTAACACCTGACTGCTGATGTTTAAGACATGAGCTGGTAGCTCTGGCCGTCCATCAGGTATCAATCCTTAAGTTAAACCCAAGAGCAGGAGCAGCTTGGCCAAGGTGAAATTCATCCTTTTACAGTGTAGTGCATTCTCCTTTCCTCAGGAGACAGGAAAGGTGCTGTAAGGTTTCCTCTTAGGGTGCCAGAGCCCATAGCTCTCTGTAGAAGCTGTGCTGATCAGCTTTGGCACATGAAGTCTACTTGCTGCTCATTAGAGGCTGTTCCAGTGGCATGGAGCAGGAGACTCCTGTGCTTAAAAAGCCTCTGAGTTGAGCATTGAGGTTTAGATCTTGCCATTTGTTGGACATCATAAGTGGCATTGGCACCTTCATCACAAATTACAGATGTTTTCCCTGCTTTGCTTTAAAGATCTTGTGATTGTGTGTTTTTCTTAGCTTAAAATGGCAACTGTACATGGCATTGGTGCTCCTGGTGGCATTCACATTATCCCTGCATCTACACCTGCAGTGGATTTCTGTGACAGGCAAGAAAATGGCAATATCATGTATTTAATGTTACCTGAGGTGCAGGGAGCAGCAAAAAATGCACCTCCCACAATTCATACTTAATCCTTCTTGTAGAGTTTATAATCAACAGCAGTGGTACAGAGCTGGGCCCAAAGTCTGCAAACCTGAGGTTGGTGATAGGAATGAAACTTTATGTGGGCTATTTCTGACGTTCTGAGGAAGCGTCTGACTTGGGGTTTGCTTTTCTTACAGCTTACAAAACTGTGTCAGGTGTGAATGGTCCCCTGGTTATCCTGGATCAAGTTAAGGTAAAGATTCAGATTCTTAATGAATGAAGGTGTCTGAGGGAGACGTGTCCCTGTCCCAGTCAGAAAGGGAGAGTTGTTGACCCTGTTGAGGGTCAGAAAGGAGCCAGTGTTTCAGTTTGACCAAAACTACCCAAAATGTTGTCTGAACTCAATGCAGAAACATACCCATTTGCTTTGTTCTTGACCTTTTTGTTACCAAAGCATAAGTGCTCTGTGAAAGGAGCTGTAAATGCTTTTGGCTTGGTCTCAAATTACTGGCAAGCAACTGATGAACAGGCAAAAGCCAGCTTATTCTTCCAGCTTTCCATTAGTATTTTGGGACTACAGGGACGTGGGTTTAGAATAGATTCTGTCCAGTCTTTTGCAAGCCTGAATCTCTGCACAGATGTTGTGTAGTCCCTGTAGAAATGGCTTTAGCCTGATAACTTTTAACTGCCTTGGAATCAGCTTTGTTCTGATGATAAGTTTACTTTAAAAAATAGACTAGTTGCTAAGTTTAAGCTTGCTTGAAGCTGATACTTTTGTTCATGGCTATTCCTCTGGATTTTAATGCTTTCCACCACCTGTCTTGCTCACCTTCAGTTTCCTAGGTACGCAGAGATTGTCCACTTGACTCTTCCTGATGGCACAAGAAGGAGTGGGCAGGTTCTGGAAGTCAGTGGCTCCAAAGCTGTGGTTCAGGTATGATGAGGGACAGGAGGGTCTCTTGGTGCACATTGGCTTATGTCTGAGCCATCTCAAATCTATCCTGTGGTATATTCTTTGGGTACTATAAACTGAAGAGGAAATTACCTGCTTATTCCAAAATTAATGGAATCACACTGTAACTGTACAGTGCTAGATTCAAGCTCTACTATGTGGATGCAGGTGCTGCTTCTAAGCAGCTGTTTCCTGTTAATATTCATTCTTCTTATCTGAAGAACTCTGCTCTGTTGGCAAAGGGAAATGCTTGAGATGAAAGGATTGGCGTTGGGTTTGTTGCTTGCTGCTGGTACTTCATGAATTTGGGTTAAGGCAGGTCTCTGTGTGATGTTCTGTACTCACAAGCTGCTCTTGAGATCCTTTGCTTGCAGAGGATTGCCTTGCTTTTCATCCTGGTGGCTGATCAGGTTCTCAAGCTGTGAAGCAGCATTTCAGTGTGTTATTTTGTAAAGCCCAATACTTAGTCCTTTTTCCTGTGTGGCTTTTTTTCCCCTTCTTCTGGTATATTTGCAGGTATTTGAAGGAACTTCAGGTATTGATGCTAAGAAAACATCTTGTGAGTTTACTGGGGATATTCTTCGAACCCCTGTCTCTGAGGATATGCTTGGTAAGTGCTTGATACTGCTTGGAAGAATGAACAGACTTAACCACACACTTTCTTGCACAGTCTTACTTGATTGCTCTTTCTTGTAGGCAGAGTGTTCAATGGATCAGGAAAACCTATAGACAGAGGCCCCATTGTTTTGGCTGAAGACTTCCTCGACATAATGGGTATGTTCTTAATCCATTTCAGATAAGGAGTTAAAGGCAAATCTGGTGGTCCTGATTTCTGAATGTTACAGTAGATTTGGTTTTGAACATAGGATCTAAGTGTTAGGAGGAGATTAATCTTTTATGTGGCATCAAACTCAAATCCACTTTACAGAAGTGCAGGAAGATGAGGTAGCAGAAGTTTGGAAGCTGTTCTTTGAAGTATTTGTGGACTATCTTAATTATACAGCCTCCAAAGATAAAAAACTAATAACCTGACAGGCTTTTCTTAACCATTTACATGACCACAGAATGTCAGAGCCTTGGGATCTCTAAAAGGCTCAGGTTTGACCAGGCACATCTAAAGAGTTCTTGACCTAATGGTGGGGTTTGCACCTTTTGACATGAGCCTTGTATCAGCGCTCGTGGTCAGTGATTAAGCTTCAGATAGATAGATATATAGAATAATATGTGTTCTCTTAAAAACCATACCAGGTCAGCCAATCAATCCCCAGTGTCGTATCTACCCAGAGGAAATGATTCAGACTGGCATTTCTGCTATAGATGGTATGAACAGTATTGCCAGAGGGCAGAAAATCCCCATATTTTCAGCTGCTGGCTTGCCCCACAATGAGGTGAGTTCTCCAAGCTATTCTCTAAACCCTTAGTGGCTTATTTCATGGGGGTTAAAAAGGGAAGTCGGTTAAATTCTGGTCTGGGTAACAGCATCACACATAGAGGTGGACTGAAACATGTTTTCCTCCTAGATTGCAGCTCAGATATGTCGCCAGGCTGGCTTGGTGAAGAAATCCAAAGATGTCATGGACTACAGTGAAGAAAACTTTGCCATCGTGTTTGCTGCTATGGGTGTAAGCCAATATTACTGGAGGAAAATGATGCATAAGAAATCAGCCAATGCTGAGAGTAGCTGAAGTATTTGAAGTAGGTCTTATAACAGTGCTAAATTGCCTGGCTGAATATCCCAGATGGCCAGAAGTACTGTAACAAAGCGTGTCTGATCAGGATAAAGTATCTTGAGCTTAATCTCTAGCCTGGAATCCTAATAATAACTTGTTCTGGGAATGTAGGGGAATTTTCATGGTACAGAGAGCTCTGCTTATGGATTACTAATGAGGTGTTTAGACCTTAATGTGATGCAAAATGCAGTATGCTAAAACCTGGTCCTGAACTGATGCCTTAATACTGTGGTTTAGGTGAACATGGAAACTGCTCGGTTCTTCAAGTCAGACTTTGAGGAAAATGGGTCCATGGACAATGTGTGTCTGTTCCTGAATTTGGCCAATGATCCAACGTAAGTATTGACACTATGTTGGTTGGGAAAAGGCTGAAAAGAGTGAGTAAACTGGAGGAGGAGGCCTCACTGCTGTCCTGCCAGATGCCACTTACGTTGGCATTCCACTTGGTGCACGTAGCAGGTTTTCAGAGGGTTTTAAAGTCTCTGTAACTTCAAACTGTTGCCCTGCAGCCTAAAAGCACTTGCCATAAATACTGCCTTGCTGTCCTGTTTCAGCATTGAGCGCATCATCACGCCTCGTCTAGCTCTGACAACAGCAGAGTTCTTGGCATATCAGTGTGAGAAGCATGTGTTGGTCATTCTGACAGATATGAGCTCCTATGCTGAAGCCCTGCGAGAGGTATGAACTGGCAATGCTGGGTGCTGGCAGGAAGGGGTTGTGCTACAGAGTGAGAATGTGAGCTTCTGCTCAAGCTGCTCGAGTTAGGATTCAGGACAATGTTCTCAAATAGCCAGTGAGGCTTTTAGTTCTTCACTGGCTGTCTAGAATGATGTTCAGCAGTGAAACAGCTATTGCATCTAACAGCTCAGCATATTTAACTGGTGGCATTCAGCACTTTGCTATTACACTTCCAGATTTGCCTTGCCCTGCATGGTTGTGGCGACATACTTCTCTTAACAGGGGGTTGTGTGGCTGTATTTTGGTATCACTTGCAGGAAGGGGTACTTCAAGTCATTAGTGTAGCTTAATTAAGGGAGATACCGGGTCTGTATGAGAGATCTGACTTGCTGGAAACGTTCTTCTGCATTGCCTCAGGTGTCAGCAGCTAGGGAGGAGGTGCCTGGCCGGCGTGGCTTCCCAGGCTACATGTACACTGACTTGGCTACTATCTATGAGCGTGCTGGGCGTGTGGAAGGCAGAAATGGTTCCATTACTCAGATCCCTATTCTTACCATGCCTAATGATGGTGAGTTATTTTCAAGTGGTTTTAATAAATAGCACTTTAAAGGACTCCTTTAGAGCAACCTGACTTATGATGGACGCACAGCAAGACAGGAGGTCCTGTGGCCTTCAGGTTTCTATTTGAACGTTGCAGTTCTTGGCTGCCTTCTCTGTGTTGTTAATAGAAGTGCTTTGCCTATTTCAGGCTTCAGACTGTTCTTCAGCCCTGTATCAGGAGCTCTAAACCTTGCATAAGAGCCTGGGGGGTACTAACTGATGGCATTTTACTTTGGTAGTCACTTCACTGCAAAAAGCTGCTGCATCAGCGTTAGAATGGATATAGAAGGCCTGAAAACTGTCAAACCATTTTCTTTCCACAGATATTACTCATCCTATCCCTGACTTGACTGGATACATCACTGAGGGACAAATCTACGTGGACAGGCAGCTGCATAACAGACAGGTAGGTACCACCCCAGTTAGAACATACTTAAGATTACTCTGTACTTCTTGAAGTGTTAATGTTGATGTCTTGGATGTCTTTTTCCCCTCCAGGTTTACCCACCTATTAATGTCTTGCCCTCCTTGTCTCGACTGATGAAGTCAGCTATTGGAGAGGGTATGACCAGGAAGGATCATGCAGATGTATCCAACCAACTGGTATGTAAAAACCTCTTCAGAGAAGCAGGGACATGTTTCAAGTAGACCTTTCCCTCAACAGCCTGTAAAGGTCATGCTGAACAGTTGCCATCCACAACACTGCTGAGGCTGCTTTAAAACTTGAGACCCTTTGAACAGAAAGGGTTACATGGATGATCAAAGTAAAAGCCCTTTGGTTTCTTTCCCTTCTAGTATGCCTGCTATGCTATTGGAAAGGATGTGCAGGCTATGAAGGCTGTAGTTGGTGAGGAGGCTCTTACCTCAGACGATCTCCTGTACCTGGAGTTCCTGCAGAAGTTTGAGAAGAACTTCATTGCTCAGGGTGAGTGTTTCAGGCACGCCACAGGGTGTGTTAGCACCTACAAGGTCTTGTTCTCACATCTGCCTGGTGGTGAGACCCTTCCCTGCCCCATATTTCAGTCTGTGGTTGTTTTCTGCAGGTCCCTATGAGAATCGCACCGTTTATGAGACCCTGGACATTGGGTGGCAGCTTTTGCGGATCTTCCCCAAGGAGATGTTGAAGAGGATTCCTCAGACAACCCTGGCTGAATTCTATCCTCGAGATTCCACTGCAAAACACTAACCAGAGCTTCACCTCTTCACTCCTCGCTCTGTGAAATGCTGTTTTCCTTTTCCATGTGTTGGTGTTTACTTGTCGTCCTTACAGTTAAAACCAAGGATAGGTGACGTTTGTGCCAGTGTTCCAGTGTACACTGATACCAGTTCTGAAAATAGCCCTTCTTCCAAAGCCTGGATCTTCAAGAGAATATTTAGGCCAGCTCTTAGAGATGTACAATAATCAAAGCTTTGTGAGCTGGACGTTTTGTAGGCATTTCAAGGTAATTTCTGAGGATTACCAGAAATTGCAGATCTTTACTTTCAAACCCAGAGCACGTGGTTTAGAGAACATGAAAGAGCAAATGTTGAGTTCCTTTGTCCAAAGCATCTGCTCAGTCTGACCACAGGCAGTCATGCTGCTGGTAGAACAGAGAGAGCTGTGCTCTCTTGCTGCTGTGCCTGAAGACCAGGCTAATAGGTTGAAAGGGTGCATGACAACATACCTTGCTGCAAAATGCAAGTCACTGGTGTTTAACTATGGCTTAAGGTTCTTAAAGGTATGCACAAGCTCAGGACACACACTGGGTGCTTTTCCACTAGCAAAAGGTCTTTTAAGAGGTCACAGGCCACCTAAAGGTAGCATGATAAGGCTTAATTACTGAATTTAAAGGCTTTAAATTGATGTTTGCAGAGTAAGTTTCCTGCTCAGCCTTTTATTTCCCCCTTTGCATTCTGGAAACAGCAGAGCCACAAAACAGCAGCTGAAGCATTCTGAGATCAGGAGAGTCTCAGTGGACAGAAGTGTAGGTGATTCTTTGTGCTGCTACCAAAGGGAATTACGAGCGATGTGGAAAAAACCTTACACCTGGTACAGATGTGCTGGTGGGAAGTCAGCTTTTAAAGCTTGTCTTGTACTAAATGATGCAAAGGAGAAACCCGCTCAGGCACTGAGCTGCTATCTTGAATTCTGTTACAAAGCACACTCAAGGTGGCACTGGGTCCTGGGCTGTGTTTGAAGCTGGTGTGGTTTGCACTCCAGGCACAGATTTGGCTAGCCAGGAGAGCTTGGTATTCCAAACACTGCAACCTTGGCTAGTCAATGCAGTGCTGTTCCCTTCCCATTGGTTCTGATGAGGCTTCAAGTGCTGCTTTCTTCCAGGCTTAATGTAGTCTAAGCTCTGGTCTGGCTAACTAAAGCATGTTGCACCTCTCTATGCACCTTCAGTACTTGTCTAGGAAGGTGCTAACATGAGCTGAAGGATGTGTAACTAATTCCACCTTTCCCTGCTGTCTCCTTTGTGCAGTTCCTTCTCTGGTTTGTTCAGTGTTCTCTGTAACTTGGACTCAATAGCAATTTTACTCCAGTGCATTCCACCCTGAAGCTGTGTCAAGTCTTATTTCTCTTGAGGGAGGGATGGGAGTGTTGGCATGAGAATACTTTAATGTAGAGAATATCTAAATAAATTAAATATGGAAGGTGTTGAACAATACAGAGGCTTTTGTGATTTTTGTGGGTGAAAACAACTTCAGCGAGGTCAGCAGCAGCTCCCGTGTTCTCAGCTGCTGGGGATCCGGGTTACATGAGTGAAACTGCTTCACAATAGGCTGAAAACACTTCTCCCTTCCATTTCTATTGAGCCACCCTCATGTTATTATTGGAGCTGGGTGCTTTTGATGAGGGAGGGGTTGGCCTTCAGCTTCCTTTGTGCTTGGGAGTGGGTTAAGGCTTTGCAGGAATACTGCAGGGTAATGCCACCCCAGTGTATCCAAAGGTGTCTCAATGGGTAGTTTGCACTAGAGGATGCTCAGACACGTTAAAAGGCTGCTTAAAAATGAGCTCAGGCTTATGCTGACTGAATGTTCTGTGTGAACAGTGCTACTGAGTGCGAGGGGGGCCCTGTATGTTTGTTCAGGTGTTCTGTGATTAAACTCCTGCCTGTGTCAGTCCCCCTCCAGGAGTTAATGCTGTGGGGATGCAGCTTTGGCTGGTGAGAGTCTGAGGAGTGTGAAATGGGGGGGTCAAGGATTCTTCTGCTGCACCCCAGAGAGCAGAGGTGAACCCGGACACCCCTTGAACAACGTGCACATCAGTGAGTCACTGAACGAGGGGAGGAGGCACCCTCCATACCTGCTGCTGCTGCTCCTTCAGTTGTGCCCTGATGTGCTGACACCATCACCATAAAATGGGAGTTTCTGACTGATGAAAGCCTGTCCCAGGCCTTCTTTAAGTGTTGCACTAAGATATAGCGCAAACTAAGCTGTAGTTTGAGCTGTTCCTTGTAGGGAAGCACAAACCCTTCAGGTAGTAAAGACATGAGCTCGTGTTTTATACAACTCATTTAAACATCCAACACTTCCTGCAATATCTTCTTCACTGAAGAGACACTTCGAAGTTACAGCTCCCATCTCCTCAGTATTAACAATGGCTTTCATTGTCCCACAGAGCTTGAAAGACTTGATCATTCACTGTGGTGGCGGGAGAGGAAGGAGGACCTATTATGCTAAAATGGCTTTAAAAAAGTTGGGATGAGTGCTTCTGCCTTTATCCCCTCCGTTACAGCCCCTCTGTCTTGAGGGAGAGCCTGGGAATAACCCCATAAACAGCAGCCAGCTCAGGAAAGCAGGTTTGAAAACAGGAGTAAGAGAAGTTCCAAAGTCCAGAGAATTCCTGAAATCCTTCAGCAGGTGCCAGGCTCCAGGGACAAAGGTTGAACAAGCTGAGGCTGAATTCCTGAGGGTGGGCGAGTGCTGCAGAGCTGCCTCTTGTGAGATACCTGCAAGTGTCTGCCTGTGGATGACACGCTCCAGAGCAAAACGAGGAATTCTGCAGTTATTCCTGGCTATTACGCTCAGCCTTGTTGCAGGGAGAGCCCGGCAGCCATGCAGTGGCACTGCAGTCCAGTGAGTGGGGAGGGATGGAGAGAGCTGCTGCACATCGCTTCCACCATCAGCTCTGTTGCTGTAGCCACAGGTCAGGGCTGTGCAGGCAAGAACTGCTTCAAGAATTAGTGAGTTGCTGGAAGCAGCACTGGGGCTGCTCAATCACAGAATCCCAGGTGGGTTTGGGATGAAGGGACCTTAAAGCTCCTCCAGCTCCAACCCCTGCCCCGGGCAGGGACACCTTCCACTAGAGCAGGTTGCTCCAA